AAATTTTAAAAAAAGTTGAAAAAATTCTAAATTTTTAAATCCCTAAGGCTTTTTTATTTTAACATATTTTCAAAAAAAGTTTTTTTCATAGTGCTTGCAATATTTATCTTAACAATTTTGTGCATTCATTTGTTGATATATCAATTAGAATATTTTTTATAGATTATTTTGTAAAAAAGTAGAAAAAAAAGGGTAAAAACTCCTGTTAGGTATATATAACACCATAAAAGTTGTAATACCTCATAAAATGCTTATTCCATGCACAGTTTAAATAAGAGTATTATACTCAAGATAAAAAAATTTACTTCAAAGCTTTATCTTAAATAGAAAAAATTCCTTAAGGATTTAATTAAGACACAAAATTATCATCTATGCGAAAAAGCACTTTGAAGTCAGACTGCTGAGCAAGTTTCTGTATTAGAACAATTTAAAATCATTCATAACTTTTTTAAAAATGTAGATAGAGAGATGAATTTTTTTCTGTACATTTGAAATAGTTTGAAGTTTTATTATAAGCAATAAAAAAAATTTTGGTATTTTTGTCATTTTTTTGGGTACTGTGTGTAAATTGTGAGTACGAATCTCAATGCGTGATTTTTAATTCACGCGAATACGAATCTCGACATTTAATTTTAAAATTGCGAGAATACGAATCTAAATGTTTTTATCGCAATTTTAAAATCGCTTTACGAATCTTGATTGTTTGATATTAAAATCGCTTGTATACGAATTCTGATGCACAATTTTTTAGTCGCTTGAACACGAATCATAATTGTAATTTTAAAATCATGTGAATATGAAACGCGATGTTAGTCTTAAATCGCGTAAATAGGAATCGAGATGTGAGATTTAAAATCATGTAAATGTAATTAGAAATCGTGTTCGCAATGGCAGGAAAAAGCACAATTTATATTTAAAAAAAATTTCTTTAGTAATCACAAAAAATTTTGCTTTATGTTGACTAAGTATCCGTAAACAGTAATCGCGCGTTCATGCATATTATGCGGGTCTGGCTGCAACTAAAAAGTTTTCAGTTTGGTGAGAAAAATTAAACTGATTTTTTAAGAACTGAAACTTAATATTCTTTATTTATAGGAAAACATAAACTAAAATCTGAAATGCTGTGAAAAAAAATTTTGTAGTTCAAATAAAAAATTTATAAGTGTTAGTTACGATTTGCCCAAAAACAAGAACCTTGATTCGAAGTAATCAACTCAATTTTAGCATTTTACAATATGAAATATAAAATTTCAGTGCTCTTTATTTTTTAATTTGGTAACTTTACTTGAGTGTTACCACCTTAAAATCGTGCTAAATATATATTTCAGTGTTATTGTACTTCTGGTACTAGTTTGGGAAAGCTATCAGCCCTGTACTTAACATGTTTAATATTTAAATAAAAAATTAATGTTAATTCATATTACGAAACAAAAAAATTTTAATTTCATATTTATTTAATCATTTTTATTTTTCGTAACTTTCAAGGAAGAGGAAGAAACAACAAGATCGAAAATTAAGTTCCATATGGATTGCCCCCAGCATATGTTACTTTAGAACCAGTGACCAAAGAAAAAGTTCTAAATCGCATTACTATGCATCGAAATTCTGCTTCATATAAAACAAGATTTGGCCTTTCTAAGAATATAAAAGAAGCCCTCATTTATGATCTACAGAGACAGTTCTTTACCCTAAACTTAGACGAAAGTACGAATAACGGCAATTAAAAGATAGTGACAGTGCTTGTCAATTAATATAAGTGCTAAACACTTATCTTCCTACAGTGTTGATTCATGGACTCGTCCAAATATTTGGAAAAAAACAGCATTTCTTAGCAGAATCTGATGTCAGTTCTTATGGATTCGTGCAGTGTGATAAGGGGGAAGAATGCAGGATCAAAAGTTAAAATTCGCTTAAAGTGCAGTGGCGTATCTAGGGTATGGCAGGCATGGCGAGAGCCATTGCCGCATTATTTGAAAAAGGCGCAAAATCAACCAACACCAACGTTTCTTTCTTTTTTTCAATTTTTCAAAATATTTTGATATTTTGCTTGTTTTAAAAAAATAAATTTAGCATACATACAAATACAAATTTTAGAAACAATAATACAAATTTCAAAAAAATAAATAAAACATTGAAAAGAATCATTTAGAAAACTTTCCAGAATGCAGAATAAAAACTTCCAATGATCGGATCCTCAGATAAATCTTTCTTTTTCCAGTACCACAAGCAAAAAGACAAGATAAACATCTCTTCATATCACATTACCAGGATGTAAAAGGGCAATTATCTGGGGATGAATAGAACACCTGCAGGCATAGAGAATAGCCCTTTGGTGGTGACAGAGGGCAAAGAGATGTGAAAACCATGGGGTGTCTCTGCCCAGTTTAGCCCAATTATCATACCCTAAAATGCTTGTAGATCTTAAATTTTATCAGGGGTGAAAATCACTTTGAAAAGCGGCTTTCGAATTTGTAGAATATACAATTAGAACCCTTGCTGTAAATTAGCGTAAATCCTTCCAAAAAGGGAGGTTTTGCCACACATGGTGGGAATCACTGTCACAAAACATTAAAATACTGAAAACAGGAAGTGCCTCTGCCTTGCTTAAACCAATGGTAATACACAACAATGAATACACCCCATCAATTCTTTTTCAATGAAAAAAAAAAAAAAAAAAACTGCCATAAGTGTAATTTAAACGAAGTATTAGGATTTTCTTAAAATCAAGGATTAAATTGTAAGTAATCATTTCTTATTCATTGAAATCATGCTTACTTTATTATTTCACGTTATATTTTGTAGCTATCGATATACTTTCTAGCAATGCCAACTGCTCCACTTTCTTTAAAATATTTTATTCAGTGGTAGTTAAAAACGAAACCATGCAGAATTTAAGATAATTCTGGTAAAATTTATAATTCTCACCTGGAACAAAATTATGTTTCACATGATTTTTTTCAATTATTTATACGTAGAAAGGGAAAATGGTTTTACATTAAATAAACAAAGAATCATACATTAAATGTAACTTTTGCACTCAATAAAAAATATTTTTCTACACAGAGCAGAGCAAGTTTGCATCTCTGTATATGTAGATTAAGAGGGGCGTTTACTACATTATAATATTTTGTCTTTGTATATAATTATTTTTATAAAACAAAATCATTTAATATGCACAGTGATATTTTGGTTACAAAAAGTGAACTTCGTGTAATTAAAAGCTCGCTATTGTATTATTATTTAAAACTATGT